CCCAATGGGGTCTACCAAACAGCCATCCATCAATTTAAAAGCCTTACATTTCGGATAATGTGACATGTGGAGTTACACCTGCATCAGCTTGATAACCGGTCCCAGCCACAACTGACATATCACTTCTACCTGGGGAGAAATGGGGCAATTTTCTACAAAATGACACTTGAATTCCTGGCTGGTTTTTTTGAGGGGCTGCCACAGCTTGCAATAATAGGTAGACAATACCTTATGAGCTTTGCAAGTTTTTGGTGATGTTTTACATTATATTGTTGAACCCGTGGTAACTACCATAATAGCTTGGGGCTAGAGACAGTCCCACATTTCTGCTTTCCAAATGCACTAAAACTGTGGGAGACATCTAATAACCCGACACCTGTATAGGAGTGATAACGGTCACTGGACGATTAGTTCCCAAGTAGTAGGAGATACGACCGGGCTTGGAACTGTCCACCGGCCAATTTTAGGTTCCAAATCGCGTTGCAGAAATGTGGCGTCTTTAAGTGTAACACCTGCACAGGGTTGATAATCAGTATGGGCGCATTTGCTTCTATCAGAAAGTACGTAAAAACGTTGGAAATAGATGTGACGTACGTCTTCTAATGCAGTTGTCTCCTCCAGGCATGCATCCGTCATGCTTTAGTGCTCTAATCCATAGACTGTCTCTGCAGACCTAGAATCTGGGTCATTTCTCAAGACTTCAGAAGTACGTGTAACTGTGAGTGTATTGCACTTGGGTCATATGAATGTCTACTTGCATAATAATCACTGTTGAAATATTGGTGACCAAAAAAAACTTCTGAGCTATTGATAAAATAAAAATTTCTTTGATTTGTGCTAACTGACTTGGATCTTATTTTATATTCACCTCATCAAACCCATGCTAAACTTCTGTCATAAAAATTTGATCTTTTTCATCTTGGACATGAGCACTCATTGTTGAAAAAAACATGATATGAAACAAAAAAAGTATTTCAGTGGTAGACAAAATTTAAAAAATAGTACATTGCAAGAATCAAGTACAAACAAAACCAGCTGGCCCCATCCCTATTTGTCATAAACGTTCATCAACAATACGAAGTACCAAGTTTACATTTGATATCATCACATGGGATCTCTGAGTGGTGGTCGTGTTTAGTCACCTGTGGTCTCACTTAACCCCAGATTATACTGGGACTCAGGTAAACAGGCAGTGCTAAGAGTAATAATGAACAGAACAGTCGGGGATTTCAAAACATCAGATATAAAAACATTATGACAAAGCCACATTTGCACTGTAACAATAGCTACAAGTTCAACCAATACAACTGAGCATGGAAAGGTCTGGTAGTTTAACTTTAAGGGCTGTTCAACTTCAAATAATAATTTCGATGATTCTTTGACCCCTTAAAAATTATCAAAATGATAAAATACTGTGAAAAAATGCACAATTGTTGCTCCTTTTATCCACTATCTTACCATCAAGTATCATGAAAAATAAATGAACCCCTAAGCCACCACACTTTCACAGTTGTGTTCCATACACACTTAGCCAAATGTAATGCTTTGTTACAGTACCTATAGCTGATAAGGCCATAAAAATTTAATACCTGAGTTGTTTAACAGGCTTTCTGGACATACATATCTGATGGTATAAAGTACATCACACTGGTTCTTTCAGAGGAACTCAACTCCAGAAGCAAGTGTTCTGTTTTATCACACATTTTTCTGAATTTAAAATTATCAGTATATTTTGAAACTTGACATGAGTTGGACTAGGCAGCAGTTGAAATAAACTGTAACAATATCATAAATGTGGTCTCCTATATAGAAAATAACAAAATGCTTCTGGTGTTGAGGACCCTTTTTAAGCTGTTGTCAATGTATGTGACTGCCTTAGGTAATGTGCTGGCCCAAGTGCACATTCAACTTTTTCAAGGCTTAATGATTTTAAGGGGACAAAGGAAAAGTCTTTCTTACTTTTATTAAGTTTTGTAGCTTCTGGGCTCTGGTTGGTAGCCTGAGTGTCAGCCTTGTTAGCTTTCGTCCGCTACCCAAGGTCCGCTCCCCGCCTCATGATGTTGTTGGCGGGGAGCGGACCTTGGGTAGCGGACGAAAGCTAACAAGGCTGACACTCAGGCTATCTGGTTGGTGGACCTTCATCAACTCTTAAGCTTGCAATCTACAGACTTGTACATGTACATGGCAAAAGCCAGACAGAGTAGACCCTCTGAACAAGTAATCAAATTATTGCAAAGGTCTAAACACATACATGTTGGACTGTTGGTTACATATGTTTGTAATTTTTACAAAGGAACCACCTGACATTTTGTCCATTGCAAGTAGTACAATGTGTCTACGTGTTACTCCACCATACAAATTTGTTTATTTAGCATTGGTGAATTTCTGATGGTTACAAATAAGGCAGGGAATTGTTTCCACACAGATCCACTTTTCTTTAAGACTGTTTGCAAGATTTGTTAATCAAAAGCACCATGTATAATTGGAGAATAAATCATGTATATTTAATCACATACTCACCTGCAACAAAGTCAATCATACTCATAGAGATCCTATCTAGCTATACTATAGTATAGATTACATGGAGCAAACCTTAAGATTCAGCATGGTTTGTAAATGGTTCCAGTTGAAAATAATATTGATTAGATAACCAGGCATGAAAAAATAAAATTTATCTTTTGTCTGTAGGCTGTGCTATAAATAACCTGTATCAATGCAGAAAGAAGTCCTTCAGATTTCTGGGCTTGTTGGGTAACTAAGAACCGTTCAGAAAGTGGTCTCCGTGTATTCATCAAAGTGTTTACAGTGACAGCTTTGGTTCCTGGTGGAGATTTTATCACAAAAAAAAAAACAGGTAACATGGAAAATTGAATGAGCTAGCACCCCTAACTGTACTGTTTCAAACTTAACAAAAATATCACTTTTGAAACTGAAATGACTTTTGAAATTAACATTGTATAAATTATTGTCAAATCTTTAGAAATTTGGTACATGTACTATTGAAAACTGTAATTTAAAAAAAAAAAGTAGAATTTTTACACAAATACATATTGGGGACAATGATACATGAAGTCTCGGGCCAGTAGACATCACACAGCAAAAATACAGAATTACATAATATGATATGATAAAACAATCAAATGTCAATCTAGCTACATATGGACAACAGTTATTAAAACCAAGCCACACAATTTGAACCCAGTACATATGTATAAACAATTTTATCATGGCCAACGTCTATCTAATATTCCAAGCAAGGACGTTGCTCCTAAAATGCAAATAACATAACAGGAAA